GGCGGGCTGACCGCGCAGGTGTGTCTCGGGGAGCATGGGACCGAGGAGCACGATGCAGGTGGGCAGACCGCGCAGGTGTGGTCTCGAGCGTCATGCGGCCGAGTAGCACGACGCAGGCGGGCAGATCGCGCAGGCGTGGTCTCGAGCGTTATACGGCCGAGTAGCACGACGCAGGCGGGCAGACCGCGCAGGCGTGGTCTCGGGCGTCATGCGATCGAGGGATGAGGCTAGGACGAGAAGGTCGCCCTGAGGGGAGCTCGGCAGTCTATGTCTGAGGGATCAGGCGAAGGCCGAAGGATGCGACTCAGGCGGGCAGGCCGCGCTGAGGCGTACTCGGGCAGTGCATGGCCGAGGGAGGTGGCTCGGGTCAAGAGACACAGCTCAGGCGGGCAGGCCGCGCTGAGGTGGACTCGGGCAGTCTATGTCCGAGGGATCTGATAAAGGCCAAAGGATGTGACTCAGGCGGGCAGGTCGAGTGAGGTGGAGTCGGGCAGTGCATGGCCGAGGGAAGTGGCTCGGACCGAGGGACACAACTCAGGCGGGCAGGCCACGCTGAGGTGGACTCGGGCAGGGACACCGCTCAAGCCGAGGGACACGGCTCAGGTGGGCAAGCTGCGCTGAGGTAGACTCAAGTAGTCTACGGTCGAGCCGTGTAGAGTCAGAGGGGTTTAAGCTGGGGCCAACCGCGAGCCGGGAGGGGATCAGGTAGATACTGAACCTTCGCTCAGAAGAGACCGAGGCAGGGCTTAGATTTCTTTTCACGAGGGCTACATCGGATAGTCGTCGCGGGTGCTTGACCCCTTCTATGGAGCCCACTGCCGAATGTCGTCCCTTCTCCCTACGGCCGCCCAGGCCTCCGCCACGATGTACTGGTTAGCCCGCTGGAGCATCTCTGGCACCGTGGTGGGGGGTCGCTCCACGAGGGACCAGAGGAGTCTGGAAGGTCGCAGGCCCATTATAAACGCCTGCACTAACAGAGAGGGATGAGTGTTCGGCAAACCTCGGATTTGCGTGGCAAAGCGATCCACAAAATGTGAGAGGGGCTCGTCCTCTCTTTGTTTGAGTCCGAGGAGTAGTGCCGCAGAAGGCTTTGGCCGTGCATAAGCTACGAAGTGGAGCTCGAAGTCATTGGCGAGCTGGTCGAAGGAAGTGATAGTCCCGGTCTTCAGGCCGCTATACCACGCGTGGGCCGGCCCTCTCAAAGTGGTAAGAAACGCTCTGCACATTAGAGCATCAGAGGTTCCGTATAGCGCCATTTGGGCGCGAAAAGTAGCTACATGGTCCGCTGGGTCGGCGGAGCCATCGTAAGCGTCTAGAGAGGGGAGCTGGAAGTCCGGGGGGACTGTCAGATCCTGTATCTCGGGCGTGAAGGGAGACCCTTGGTGTGCGTCCTCCCCGAGCTCTCCCTTGGACCTGCGAACCTCTTTCTGCACCTTGTCGAGTCGCTGGCTGACGAAGCGCAATTGGGCCCACAGGGAGTCCGAAGAGAGTGCCTCGGGTTCTGGGCGGCCGCTCGGGTTTGCCATCATTGGATCCCCGAGTGGGGCTGGTCGGACCCGAGGCGAAGTGGGGGGCTCCGGAAGTGTCATGTGGGCCCGAACGGGCGCCTTACGTTGTCGCAGCGGTTCGATCGCGGGCGGATGCGCCGGATGAGAAACGAGTGGGATAATGGTTTGCACCATTTCCATCAGAGCTCGAACTTGACGGGCGAGGTCCTGAAAGGCCTTGGATGACACGGGCGTCGAGTCGGCTGGGGCACCGTCGGGCGGCGACAGGCCCGGGTCGTTGAATATCCTCCAATAACGCTCTGCGGTCGTGGCGGGGTGTTCGTCACGACGGTCTCCGTGCGGGGGATGTTCCCCCGAGGCTTCAGTCGGGTGTGACCTCTCAGCCGTGGGCTCATCTGAGTCGCTCGGGTGATCACCCGACATTCCGGGCCCTCCTTCTAGCGCCAATCTGTTAGTGTAACCAACCTGGGAGCCGTGGCCTCGGGGTCGACGCGGCTCGGTTCGGGTCCGGACATCGGGGATCTCTCCGGTGCGTGCCTCGAGCCCGCGGGGTCGGTCCGGTGCGATGGTCCGATCGGGACGGGGTCGTCGTCTCCTCCGGGCAGGGGCTCGTCGTCCGCACGGCCGGCGGGGGCCCTCGACCCGACCCCTCCGACGATCAAGTTAGCAGAAGATGTGGAGAGGGTTTCAGAAGAAGAAGTGTTTGTATGTGTCACCCCCCCTTCTCTGATGAATGAGAGGGTATTTATAGGGAAGCTTATTGTTGTTTGATGTGCCCGCCTGCAGGAGGCAGGCTGATAGCGTCTGACATGGGGGGTTGGCGTGGCGTGTAGAACTGCGCCTGCGTAGGCGTTAATGTGCCTCAGCCGGTGTTCTGGTTTGGTTGATCGAGTGCCGTCGCGCCGACCGAGGTGCGCGGCGTCGGCTGACGTCAGTCGAGTCTTATCATAATTACTATCCTCATCAATAGTATTTCTCTATGTGGATGTAGAGGTTAAATAGGAGTCATGGTTCTATAATGCAGGTTGCCAACCAATGTTAAGCCAGTTTGTGCCATGCCATGGATGGCCTGTGTTAAAAATATAATATGTAATTGTATAATGTTATATCTTCTCAATATAAATATATATTCTATAATAAAAAGGTGGGCCTAATAAAAACTGAGCAGCTTAATAAAAAGGCATGGGTTCTACCCAGAAGTTTGGCTAGTCCATGAGCAGTTAAGTCTAACACCACTTATTGATGTCTTGGTTTGGTTTTCATGTCCACACGAGATACTCATGGTTTTCCATAATCTTCAGAGTCCCATCTTAACCACTTCCTAAGTCCCAAACAATAAAGTTGAAATCAAGGATTTAAAAACAGTATATAGACTTGCACTTGACTGTAACATACATCAGTACCGTACTTATGCCATTGAAATAGATATAAAAATATTTAATGTGTTGGTTTTACTATGACATTCATTTGGTTCTATTTGGAGAAATATCTGTGGAAAATTTTTAATGTCTGTGACTTGGCATATCGCTCTATGTTCCGAGGCTTTGGTTGATTGTGCAACGTACTATTGGTTTCGTTTCAATGCTATAATATTCTTATCCTGCAGGAGTATTTTTTGACACTTACGGAGAATATTATGAGGACTTGAGGCAATTTCACCAACATCTTCCTAGACTACTGAAGCCCGGAGGTGTATACTCATACTTCAATGGGCTGTGCGGCGATAATGCATTTTTCCATGTAGTTTACTGTCAGTTAGTTGCATTAGAACTTGGAAATTTAGGTTATTCTACTCAATTTATTCCCTTGCCTGTAAAAGATTGCTTGACAGAGGAGGTATGGGAAGGTGTGAAACGGAAATACTGGCAGCTCGACACATATTACCTTCCTGTTTGTCAGCCATTAAGTGATTCAGAATGATCTTTTAGTGCCAAACTCGAGGTTGCTCTCAAAGCTGGATTCATCCTCAATGTTGTGCTTCTTTATGCAAGCAACATAGTTTTTTCAGGTGTTACGCTTCCATGTTCACCATCTGGTATTGTGGGCTTGAAGCCTGAGAGGATGCTTCAATTTGATGATTACAGTGTCTAATGAACAATAGCTACATGGTTGATGTGGGCTTAAGCTTCAACTATATTAAATCAACGTCGTGCATCCTATGTCCTTCACAGGCTTGTTTTCTACTTTGTTGTGCTGAAGCTGGTCATACAAGTTGAATTGTTGCTCATAAATTCTGGTCCTTTAGTCCATCTTGATGAAAAAAGAAAATGTTTCTCATTGCTATCACTGCTTTGATTGTACTGTTTCAAATTTGTTTAGTTCCATGAGATTCGTAGGTGCATTCGGCATCCAACTAATTTCTCATCTTATCAATATATATGATATGATAATTGTGCTTAATTTTGTACAGGTCAAAATTCTTACCTTTGTTCTTTAGCAGCAAGTCTGCCTTTGCAACCACGCTGTCGTAAGTCTATCGTGTTGTGGATGGCTCAATTAAATATCAAGCTATAACTTTGCCTATTTGATAGTCATCAACAGCTGCCAGATTATATGTCTACAGGAAACTGAGAAACAACGAGTGCTGCTACAATGTTTTGTTCGAAGAAAATTAAAATGAGCTATTATTGAAAATTAGCTACGCGGTTCGGACAGCGAGCGCATATGGTTTCCGTTTAAGACACCATTCGGTTCGGTTCGACTGAGAAATCTGGAGATGTCGAGCCGGACCGGGATCTCCTGGTCCGGTTCTGGAAGCTACTAGGTTTTTATCGTTGCGAAGCGGGGAAGCGAATCGAAGTGGGCGAGGGTGAAAGAAGACGCGGAAGAGCGGAGACGAAAGTTTGCGCCCGGAACTGAGATGGAGAACGGCGGTCCGCTCGTCGACATCGGATCCGCCGCGGAGACGGTCGCAGCGGTGGAGGAGGAGGAGGTGGCCTCGGTCGCGCCGCTTCACCAGATTGAGTCCCTCTGCATGCGCTGCGGAGAGAACGTAATCTCCTTGAGCCCCATTATCTTGGTGTCGAGATTGAATAATTATTATCTTCACGGTTCACAGAATCCGATGCTGTCTTTGATGTTGTTGTTCTCGTAGCTTGGAATTTTTTGATTGTTACATGCGTTGTCTTCGATTCAGGGCACGACGAGGCTTCTACTCACTCGGATTCCGCACTTTAGAGAGGTAGAATAAAGACAAAAAAGATATTCTTACGAGAAATTTTCATATATTGATAGAGAAATTATTGCAAGATTTTGCTTCTGATCTTCTATGCAGATTGTGTTGATGGCTTTTGAGTGCCCACACTGCAACGAGAGGTACTGCACGTTTTTTTTCTTGTTAAGAACTTGATAGGATGGTCGCTGCACAATTATTTCAGATGTTCTTTTCAATTAAAATTTGGTGAACTGAGTTATTTCTTGATTTTTGTAATCGTCATTAGGAATAATGAGGTTCAGTTTGCTGGTGAGCTCCAGCCTCGAGGATGCTGCTATCGCTTGGAGGTGCCTGCAGGGCGTAGTGAGGTTTGCTTTCGCTGAACTAAGATATTCCGGGACAAGTTTCAACTTAGATTCTCTCACTTTGTTATTCTGTTGAGGGTGGGTCTTAGTGACATGGTAGGATTGTTCTTTTGCGACCTGGATGAGCGTTTGAGTCATATAAATTATCTCTTTGCCTATAGGAATATGGCCAGTTATGTTTACTCTCTTGAGGCTATGCATTGGCGCCTTTTATTTTTGAACTTTGGTATTCAGTTCATGTTTGTTGATTTCCTAGAAAGTCTTGTTTTCTTAAGTACACTAGTTAATTATTTAGGTGATCTTTTTGTTGTTGAATGGGCTACTTTAGATGTCACTTTTGAGTTAACATCTCTCCTTCCTAACAATCAAATGTTATTTAACCGTATTATCCTTTAAATGAAAATAATAGTGACAGGAAATTCTCAAGCATCCATAATGTTAATTTTGGTGCAGAATTATATAAATAGTTTTAATCTGATGCTGACTATTGAGGATGTAGCTCTTGTGAATTTGTTTTCGGAGTTCAGGGGTATATATTGTTTTACATTGTTGACATCGAAGAATGGATAAAAAGGTACCATTTTGACATTTCAGAATTATTTATCTTAAAACTTAAAAAGAAGTGGTTGAAAACAACAATTGACTTCATACTTATTCTTTATTCTTCTTACCAAAACAATTATAGTTTTATGCATGGTTTGCAGTACCGGTCCGTACCGCCTGGTACGGGCGGTACATACCGGTCCGACAGGCTTCCGGTACGTGGATCATATGTTACCGTTCTGATACTGTAGCAGTACTGTAGCAGTGTAGCACTGCTACAGTGCTCGGCACGCCTGAATATACCGCTCGGTACACCCAGGTGTACCGAGCGGCATACCGTACCGTACTGGTACCGAGCCCAGGTCGAAACTCCGGTACGGTACGGTATTGCGAACCTTGGTTTTATGGTTGTATTGTCTATTGTGATTATTACTTGGTAGGTTGTAAACAGTCTTTGTGTCATCATAGTTTAGCTACTTCAGGCATCGATTTCTCTACTTGCAGTTTAAATGATATGATGATTTTCGCTTCTTCCTTCTGTTGTTTCTCAAGATAATCTTTTAGTTATCTGACACCTTGATGTATGGTTATAGGGAATTCTATCCTGTGTTATTGTTTTATATTGTTAACTTGTTATGATGATATTGCAACAACTAGCCTTCTGAAGTTTTACCTCTATGTTTTTTTATTCTTCATCTTCTATTCCCTCAGTTATCTTTAGTTTTGTTCTTCGAGACGTGCTACCTTAGATGTCACAATTTCATTCAGGTCTGTAGATCATGTTCCAAAGTGTCATAATATATAATTTTTTCTGTTTAGGCATCATAAACAATTAGAACCTTTTATATTCATCAAGATTTTCTTCTAAATGAATTTAAAATGGTTGCAAATTTCTTTCTTCTGATGTGGAGAACCTATTCCATCTATTATAGGGTTTCTTCACCTTGAATTTATGGCTCATTTGTGTATTATATCATTCATAAGCATTGTGAAGCTCATCTGACTCTGTCTTTGTACCACTAGCATCTTTTTTTTCCCTTTTCAATTTAGCACATCATTGATGTTTTGAAATGTTTGATTGATGCCCTTAATTTAGTCTGAGAATATTTCTATCATGTATCTTCTTTTCATTGTCTAGCATGATACTCATAATAGATATTTCCTCGCTAAACTTAAATTTTGTTTATTGGTTAAGCTATTGTCAAATTTAAATTCAATGCATCTGATTATTTTGCATGTAATGGTCAAGTTAGGTTTGAAATTTCGATAGTTTTGTGCTACACTAGTACAGTAGGAATGCACCAAATCCATTTGAACCTCATTTTACTTCTGCAAATAGTAAAACTCTTAGCTGGATTATTGTTTTTGTAGATACTTAATCGGCAAGTGGTGAAGTCTGATTCTGCAACTATCAGGGTAACTTTTTGCTCTTTCTTCATATCGTTAATTGTGAGATTTTGTAAAGCTTGCACTGTAGTTCTAGTGGGTTTACAAGTTATTTGCACTTAAAAGAATTATAATACTTAGAATGTGCCATGAGTTGCATTAACATAAGGATCAACTTATGGCCACTTATCTTTCTATCTGAACCCAGTTTATACCATAATTTCCCACACATTTCGTTCCATGGCAACCATGGATTAGGTAGAGCAGCTTCAATGACCCAAGCAATTGTTATATCTAATACATGGCTTCTAGGTCTGCATCTCATAGTATCTAGGCATGCATAGTTGTGCATCCTGTTTCTTTAGTTACTGATTGACATAATGACATTTTCTTGCCCTATATTTACAGGTTCCAGAACTGGATTTTGAGATTCCTCCTGAATCTCAACGTGGAAGACTCTCTACAGTAATTCTCTTTCAAAATGATAATATTCTTGTTTAAAAGACCTTTAGATGCGGTAGTCAAAGAAAGTGAAATGATTAATGTTAGTGATACGAGGGGAGATAGAGGAAGATATAAAAGACTTTAATAGAAACTATAAATAAAGATTTAAGTACTCTGAACTTAACTAGGCATATGATTTTTTACATATCTCTATGATGGCAAAAGATCGATGTAGCTGACCCCAAATAATTGGGACTTATGATATTATTGTTGTTGTTCTTTATATTGACAACTCTTCTGTTTTAATCTTTTGTTGACATGGTTGTTTGTGTCTCATAACTAGTCTCATTAGTCATTTTCCTTTCACCTTAAAGATCTAATATGATGGTTAGGACAGAAGGAATAAACCATGATAATTTTCTAGAAACTTTTGTAGGAGCAATTTTCTGTAGAATTTTTCCTGCTTCAACAAGGCATAACTCAAGTGACCTGCATAAAAGGGGATGATTGTTTAAATATAGAAGATTAGTGGAAATTTCTAAAATGGAAAAGTAATTAGTATCTTATTCATAAGTTGCCAGTCACAGGTGTATCTAATGCCCGATTAAAATTTTATTATGCAATGTGCCTTATACTTCTAGCTTTTGAGGACATTATTTTTCAGTTCTTGACATTAGTTGAGAATATGTACAAGAGAACTAAACATAAAAGTAAAGATGGTGCAGCAACCATTTTCCAATATAAAATTACTGAAAATTCATCCATTCGAATATGTTAAACTCTTTCTTGAGTTGAAGACATTTTGACCATGTATAATGTTGCATTGTTTAAGTAATGGTCGTACACATTCAGTTTGTCCCTAACTTTACCAACCTTGTTGTTGTCATGCTATTAGGTAGAAGGGATACTAGTTTGTGCTGCAGATGAACTGGAGTCCCTACAAGAGGAACGAAAGGTACATCAAGGATTTCCACTGTTTCCCTATTTGTCGAACTTACACTGTTCTGCATTCATCTCAGTGTATGTAGTTCATTTTATGCAGAAAGTGGATCCCGTCACTGCTGAAGCTATTGATGAATTCTTGACAAAACTGAGATCACTTGTATCAGGAAATGCTGCTTTTACTTTCATACTTGATGATCCTGCTGGAAATAGTTTCATTGAGAACCCGTAAGAGTTCTCCTATTAACATTGCTGCCTTAGTTATATGACATTAATGGTTTTGTTATTCCATTCGATGTCCAAAAAAATTGCTTAGTTTCCTGCAGTATATGGATGTCTCTAGTACTCTTTGATGTTTCTGGTTATTACATAATGCATGACTTTTGCAAGCAAAAAAAATAGTAGATATTAGGTTTTTGGTAGAGATCATAACCCGCTTGTGGAGATTTTTTTTTGGATCTAAGGATGAGCCAGATAAGCTGTGTCATGGTTTTGTCATGGTATCTTTTTCACAGATAGATCTGGGATTTATGCCTTATAAATGGTCTCATGTAAAGTTTCTTGTTGTCCATTTGATTTTATATATTCATTAATCTGGTGTAGGTTAGCTCCCTCTCTGGACCCTTTGCTGTCTATTAAATTTTATGAAAGGACCAAGGAGCAACAAGCATCATTGGGTTTTCTTGTTGAATCATCTCCAGAAGAAGAGCCTGAAAGACAGGTTGATAGGGATGCTTTGGCGGAGGAAAATAATGTTAATGTAGTGCAGAGGGAGCCACATGGCTCTGTTGGAGCTCTTGCTGGCCGTCGTGCAATTGCCCAGGGTAAAGCTGAGGATGTTGCAGCAGCCTTGTGTAGATACTCAGCACCAGAAGAGGTAAAATTTTTCTGTTTGATTGACACGTTTTTCTTTTAAGGTTACTTGTAATCTTTCCTTTATCTTAATTGTTTCTTTTTTTTCTCAGGTCGACACTCTACCGTCAACATGTGGGGCTTGCGCAGCTGGATGTGTTACTCGCTTCTATTCTACTAGTATCCTTCTTTTAGTTCATCATAATATCCTATGTGCCTTTTTTATTGTGTCGATGTTCTATTTATGCTGTCATAATGTTTAAGTGCTAATATATAAATTACATATAACCACTATTTACATTCTGAAATGGATAAGTGAGTTATCTAGACTAGGGTTTCCAACACATGAAAAAATTGGCATGGAGACGGTCACATATCAGTATTCTAGCAAGATTTTTCAAGCTATTTAGTATATGCCATTGCTTTCCCATTGCCTGTTAGGCTGCTAGTGAGTTTGCAGACAATCCTTGAAAGCCAACAGATTCCTACATAGAGTGATGATATTGAATGGTGTTTTCGTCACATATCATGAATTCTTTTAGTAACATTTTAGAAATGATAAAAGAGTAATGAGAAAGAGTTCTGAAACTTGTTTTTCAAGTAAATCAGCAACTTGTTTCTTATGCTTTTGGACTTTACCTAGTACAATAGAAAAAGGTACTTGGAAAATAAAGTGTCAAGTTGTCGTTTGTGATAGTCTTTGTGAATTTGTAATTTTTTTTCTTTGTAATTAAACATTTGTTCTGACACTAATTAATGTTTGATTAAATTATGTTTCGTGGTTTTGTGTTCCTGAGCAACATGCAGAAATTCCATACTTTCGAGAAGTTGTTGTGATGGCAACCACATGTGATATGTGTGGTTATCGTAGCTCCGAGGTTTGATGTTACCTTAAATTGTATATATTAGGAAATTTATTCATCCTTTTTTTTTATTTTCAAGGTTTTCGTGAACTCTTGTGTTTTTAACCGTTGGAGAGTTCTGAATTTTGTTTGTTAAACTTGTTGCTGCTGCCCTGAATAGTTAAAGGCTGGTGGTGAGATCCCTGAAAAAGGAAAGAGAATCACAGTGTATGTGCAGAACATAGAAGATCTTAGCCGCGATGTGATAAAGGTTTGTCTGCATGTCTCCATGACTTGGATGTACAACCATCATAATAGAACTTCTATGCTTCGAGCTACTCATAATTTTGGTATAACTTGCACTCTGCAATGAAACCCATATCAGCATTGAACTTTTCAAAAACATTATATAGAAACCAATTAATTCAAAATATGCATCCAAGATTATTATTTATTATGATTAAAATAATCTTCATCTGCATATGAATTATTATCTTCGAGAGGTTTCCATATCCCTGGTGCCATCACAACAGACTGATGTTTAAATCTGTGGTGGTAGTTGTCAAGCTTCGAAAATCACTATAGAATCTAATTCTTTAAAGTTTGTCTTGAAGTAGATAATGTGATAATATGCACAACATTATTTTTCGAAAGCATCAGTGTTCTCATTTGTAGCAGAGCTGCAATATTTCCTAACACTAGTGTTTGTCTTCTTGTTGCTGCTTTTAAATTTTCCCCAGTCGGACATGGCTAGTGTAAAAGTTCCTGAGCTTGATTTGGAGCTTGCAAGTGGCACTTTAGGTGGAATTGTCACAACAGTCGAAGGTCTAATTACTAAAATTAGCGAAAGTAAGTTTTACTTTTTCACCTCCTTAATATGCTTCTGATAGGGTAATTAAAGAGGTGTAACAGAAAAAATTTAGCAACATATGTAATTATTCTGATGATAGAGAGATTAATATGCTTCTGTTACACCTCTTTAATTACCCTATCACAAGTAGATATCTTAACGTTTCCAGCTTCTTCTTTTTTTAGTTGGTTTCTACACCATACATAGTCTATAAAGGCATATTTACAAATATAGAACTTCAAATGAAGCATATAGGCCTCGTGCAGATCTTGTATGTAGGATGTTTCAGGGTTTTCCTTTTTTACTTCATCTTTTGGGATCTTTTACTAATTGCAAATAGCAAAATCTCTTGTAATCTTGGAAGAAATAATAACACAGTTATTGCTTGCAGATCTTGAGAGAGTACATGGATTTTCTTTGGGTGATAGCAGTGATGACTGGAAAAGGAAAAAATGGCTGGATTTCAAGTCGAGTCTCGCAAAGGTATTTGAATTTTACTTTGTTGTAAAGTAGTGAAAAAATCTATACTCCCATCTATTTGTCCACATATCATGACAAGTCTACATGAAAGAATATACGTTTTTTCGCTAATTATTTCTTTGTTATTCTCTAGTATACAGATCTGATATATATTTCACTTAGCCTTCTTTCTCAACGAATGGTAGAATTTGTGAAGAAACATTGGCCAACCTTCATTTTTGGCTTGATGTATATTGCTTCTCATGCAGCTTACGAGTTTAGAGGAACCCTGGACATTGATAATTGATGATGCATTGGCTAGTTCTTTTGTTTCCTTTACCACAGACTCTGTGGAGGATGACAAGCGGCTTGTTGGTAAGTTCTCGCCCATATAATAAAAATTTTAATCAAGGGAAAATAAAAACACTTTACCGCACCACTGTCAACTCTGAAAAAACATTTAAAATAGAATCTAAGAAAAAAGCAGCAAAGTTTATATGTATCCTTCCATCTGAAATCGTTTCATATTTTTCATCTGTAAACAGTCATTTTTTTTAGAATATGCTAATGGTAGAAAATTTGTCAATAACAAATTACTTTATCGAATTCATTTATTTTCGGTCTTAACAGTACTGTCTTGGTTTATATGTGTTGATAGGGCCAATCTCTCAACAATAGGATTCTGCATTACCATTGATACCCCGAAATCACTTGCGTTACATCATAGAATGTACTGTAACATGTATTGATGACTATGACATGCTTTTCTTATCCTTTGATGTTCGGCGATGACAGTTGAGGAGTACGAGAGAACCTGGGAGCAGAACGAGGAGTTGGGTTTAAATGACATGGACACGTCGTCGGCGGACAATGCTTACAGCAGAACCGACTAACGAGGGTTCATATTTAAGATGTAATTTGGGTTGGATATCTAATCTGTACGATTAATTAAGCTAAGGATTTTTTTTTGTCGTTTTAAAGGCCATGTAAAAGTTATTTTGAATTATCAGGTTAAGCTACTTTTGTTTACTAGACCAAATCCAAGAGTGTTATCTGAGTGCGAGTTGTCATTGCTGTGTTGTGTTGTAGAGAGTAAAATCAATCCGTCAACTTGATTCAAGTCGTCACTCCACGAGTTCAATTGTAGGGTTGGCAACACTTCCCGATTGGTTTTCTATGGGGCTTGAAGCAATTTAGGGGAATATGTCATTAACGTATATGACGGATTATTTGAGAGGAAAATGATGAGCTCTCAAGATGTCACCTGTATAAAGATCGAGGTCAAAAGAGATTTGTTGATTCGATTCCTCTGATGTTTAAGTTAGTAACCCAAGGTATACAAATGCAAGCGTGTATGTAATTCTTAGTTTTTTTTCGAGCTTTTATACATGATCGTAAAGGACAAAAAAGAAGTTTAGGATCACCTTTTTTTATCATAAATGGTAAGAAGAAAGCTTATGATTATCTTTCTAATCATAAATGCTAAGAAGGAAGCTTATGATTGTCTTTCTGATCATAAATGGCAAAACGAAGCCTTCGTCTTCTCCTTCCTCTTTAGGCATCACGTGGTAGTACGTGTCGAATGATTAACCAATAATGTATTCCTTCGTCTTCTCCTCCCTCTTTAGGCATCACGTGGTGGTGATGTGTTGAATGATTAGCCGATAATATATTCCATATCATTTGTCCCCCTTTGAAGACGTGCTTTGGGGCTCTTGCGAGAGCGGCTTGAAGTGCAGCTTTTAATTCATCCGATACGAGAGTGTTTGAGATTCTCTCACGTGTTGGGTTTTCCCAACTCCGTGCTTTGAGCACGTTTTGTACTACGTTTCCACCATGGCGGATTTCTCTTCACGCGGGTCGGATTATCTTAACTCACGTGCCTCAAATACATTTGACCTTGCACCTCTGTCGTGATGGATTTCTCTTTAAGTATATCGAGTTTTTTCCGACTCACGTGACTTGGGCACATTTGCCTTGTACCTCCGTTGTGGTGGATTTCTCTTTATGTGGGTTGGGTTTTCCTAATTCACGTGCCTTGGTCACATTTAGCCTTGCGCCTTCGTTGTATCGGATTTCTCTTCACGCACGTCGGGTTTTTCTGACTCACACGCTTCAGGCACATTTGGCCTTGCACCTCTATCGTGACAAATTTCTCTTCATAAAGATCGAGTTTTCCTAACTTGCACCTCGAGCACATTTGGTCTTGTGCCTCCATAATGACGAATTTATCTTCACGTGAGTCGGGTTTTTCTGACTCACAAACCTCGGACATATTTGACCTTGCATCTTCATCATAACAAATTTCTTGACTCACACATCTTGAGCATATTTGGCCTTATGATTGTGATCCTTTATAGACATGAATCTGTATTTCTTGAAGAGGAAAGTGTTTGGCTCCTCTTCGAGCACGGTGATGGCCTCTTTGGCTCCGACCACTCTCTGCAAGCCATTGGGCTTGACTCGGTCCAACCACCAAGTTAGAATTGATAAGCCAAGAAAGAAGCAAAATATTATCATGAGGAAGATGCCTCATCCTCGAAGGGGTCGAGAACCCGAGGCGTCAATTCCCGAGAAGGAGCCTCCTACCTTCACAACATCGATGCCTTCAAAGGGTTCTTGAAGTTCTCGATCCTCTTCGAGAAAAATAGGGGATAGACTAAAGCTTATGTTCGACTTATGCAAAAGCAAACCCTTGCACTTTGCGATTATACAAATAGCCGACTTGCTAGACTCAACCTTGGGAGTACCGCTATAACCAAGATGAGAGGGTTTACATGAGGAGCATAAGGTGTCGGGCGATGGCATAATCTTAGAGCAGTACTATTGTATATCCTTATGTTCGGGGTGGTGAAATAGATCTATCATTCCCATTCGAAGATTTTGATCAACACTCGCTTTTGCAACAAGTACCGGTAAGTTAGGTTCACTTCACTCATCCATTCATTTTTTATTTGTAGCACCATCACTACGTAACAACCCTTATCAACCGTGTCCATGATGTTAGCTCTATTATCCACCATGCCCTCGTAATCGATGATCTTCGATAAGAAATCGAGGGGCTGAAGGAGAGGGAGGGGGGAGCTCTTGCTACTGTTGCCGAGGTGGAGACTTGAGGGGCCGAGCTGGCACAACAACTTGGGGAAGTCGAGCTGCGCCTTGCCAAGCAGTCAAAGGAAGTCCAACGCAATAACCAAGCCATGGAGGACAATTTGTTGTAGCTCACCCAAGAGCTGGATTCGATGAGGGTGTACAACCCAGAGCTTGGTGAGCAGGTTGCGACAACCAATGAGGAAGCTCGGGATCTGATGGATGCATTGGAGGCCAAGTGATGCATGATACCGAAATATCGAGAGGATGGGGATCGTCTCGTATTAGTTCGGGTACCAAATTATCTTAGCTCGTTTCAAGGTGAAGTATCCCAAGCAAAAGCTTGAGGAGGACCCATTCATTGATTACCCCGAGGATCAAAAAATCTCGATGGCGGTCGAGGTGCTCTTTGACGATAGTCTTGATCTGCCTCCATGTCTTAACTCCTAGCCTTTCATTGTGCTGGTATTTTGGTTTAGAGTTGTCGGATTAGTCTACTCGACTTGTTCCTTATGTCGGGTGTATTTACCACATTAATCCTTTATTTTAATAGGTTGGTGTCTCATTTTGAATGTAGAGACTTAATCTAACTGATGTAATTTTTCTTAAATAATAAGAAGATACACTCAATAATTTGTGCCCTTAGGGAGGCCTCGGTGGTAAAACATTTTTGAATTCATAATGTGCCACATTTTCGGCAACATCATACGTTTCGTTATCACGTAATGTAATACGTTCCATCTTGAACTACTTTGATGATGATTTTTCTGGTCATGAATGATAAGGAGGAAGCTTACAATTATCTTTCTAGTCATAAATAACAAGCAAAAAATTTGTAATTATCTTTTTGGTCATACATAATAAGAAGGAAGCTTCATCATCTTCTCCTCCCCTGAGCTTAACATGACGATGACGTATCAAATGATTAGCCAACAATTTATCCTCTATCACTATGTATACTTAATATGTGGTATGCAAGATTCACTATGCCAGCATCGATCACAGTGAAAAATATTCTTCAAATAAAAAAGTTATTCAAACAATATTTTATTAATTACAAGTAGATTTTCGAGATATATTTTATTTATGGCAGTAGTTAGGAACACCAACTACAAATAAAATGTCCTTCAGACTCGTACTTTCTTTTGTTTAACGAAAACCTACTATCTAGTTAGGGTAAACCCGACCATGGTCAATTATTGCTTTTACAGAGAGGTCGTGAAAGGCTTTGATCGATTATTGGGATAATGCATTAAGGGTTGATTCTAACTCCGTCATCAATTCAAGGCTCGGAAACAGATCGATCCATCTCTTCTTTCTTTTTTTTCTTCAAAAATATCAAACTACATATTACTATAGAAATCTACAACACGCCGCAAGATGTGATGATGAGTTAGAAATTTGATCAGATTTATAACTCATAAAATAAGAAGAAGAAAAAGAACTCCTGTAGCAATTTAGAAGATTCCAAAAGATAGTTCCTCTTCTTTGTATAGGATTTCGACGATCAGCTCACAGTCCGATTCCACCACCAAGTGAGTAATCCCCTCCCTCATTTAGTGCAGCTTCCAACCCAAACTTAAAAGGTCATCATCTCTGCCTCCCAGCCATCTAACATCCGGCAAAAGGAGTCACCGGCCCAAACGCATTTTCCAGTACTGGATCGCAGCAAGTAACCAGCCCCTCCGGCCTCCTCCTCCGGTTTAGAAGAGCCATCCATCAGCGTAAACGCATTTTCATGGCATCCGATTTTGACTCAAATCTGAACAAGAAAAAAACTCGGGCCATGTCGAGAACCTGCGATGAGGAAGATAGGTTCCAGAGCCGGCTGACGATAGCCCGAATAACCACCGCCGGAGGCGGTCGGAGCAAAAAATGACCCACCAGAGAAGGCTCCCAAAGCTTATACCATTCAGAGAGTTCATCTGTAGAGAAAACTGCAAACTCCTCCGTTGAGTTCTTAATTCGATCAAAACGATCCCAAGGAAAACACGAACTATCACCAGAAGAACCCGCACGACCAGATAGTACCACCGGAGGAGACTGCAGGGGCCGAGGTTCCCGCCCCGGAAGACGGAGCAGCAGCAGTAGGAGAGGAACAAGGACCAGCATGAAGAGGAGGGCGCCCCAGAAGACGGAGCAGCAGCAGCAGCAGGAGAGGAACAAGGACCAGCTTGAGGAGGAGGATCTGAAGAGGACGATGGGGTTTTTTCCCCTCTCGCCCAAGCAGGAGGAAGTCACGCGATGAAAACCGATGGGGTCATCTCTATAGTTGCATAAGTAAGCTCGGATCTCTTAGCAAACCTCTCGAGCGCCTGGAAGTGGCCATGCTCCTTTCTTGTCCGGCGTTTCTTTCTCCGGATAGAGCCAGAGATCGAAGCGGAGGAGCAGACGAAGCGGGAAGACGACTTGGGCTGTTCTGGTGTTGCTGCAGTTCGATCCAGACCCAGACCGGGCTCGGTCTGGTTCGAACTGCGTCCGGATTGACCTGGACCGGACACAAGTTTGGGTTTCGATCCAGATTTGACGATCCTGACACGGCTGACTTCGATTGGGCCGACACGGTTCGGCTCCACTTCGACCCCAACACAAAAGCCGCCAGCCTTCTGACCTCGCCCTTTTTGTTGCTCCCCTCGCGATCCCGTCGACCGCCCCCTCGCCCTCCATGGCCGAAGGCGCCGCGGCGGAGGCCAAGGGCGAAATCGAGAAGAATACGGCGGCGGGCGGCGGCTACTCGTCCCTCGTCCTCAAGATCTGGCCTCCGACGCAGCGGACGCGGGAGGCGGTGCTCCACCGCCTCGTGGAGACGCTCACCTCCCAATCTGTCCTCTCCAAGCGCTACGGCTCACTCCCCAGAGACGAGGCCGCCGCCGTCGCCGGCACCATCGAGGAGGAGGCCTTTTCCGCCGCCTCCGCGGCGTCAGTCGGCGGCGGAGCAGACGATGACGGGATCGAGGTCCTCAACGTGTACTCCCAGGAGATCAGCCGGCGAATGGTCGAGTCTGCCAAGGCGAGGGCCGCGGCCTCCGCTGCCGCTCCCAACAGCTAAACCACCTCTGTGAGGAAACCCCGAACTCTGATCTGAATCATTGCTTGCGAGTCGGTACTCAGGGCATATTGTGTGTTTGATTGGTGTGCTTGTTGTTTCACAAGGATTGGGCTCTTCTTCCGGGTTGGATTGGTTGAATTGGCATCTATCTATGATCCATTGTGTTTGATTGATACTTGGATTTGTCATCGTTTACCATGCATGTGAAGGGTGAAGTAAATGTAATATGCTATGAATCAATTATGTTGCATTATATTGAGATTGTTCATCAGAATTTGGCTATGTATGATCAAGAAATGTTAATGATAGTCCAGCTATCCTTTATGATCAACGTGGAGGAATCCAGAAGACCAATGTTGGAATCGCCCACTGAGAACAGAATTATATTTAATCTCTACTCGACATCATATATGACGATGTTATGATGCACGAGTGCATGATCATAAACAAAATCTAATAATTTCAAAAAATAGTGGATAATATATTCCGATCTTGAAAGGGTTTTGCAAAGATAGAATCGAAGTCTCAAACCCTAACCTTGAGGTCTCGAGCCCTCAACATTTGATAGGTAGATCTGATATACCAAACCAATGTTTATTAAAGTATAGATAAAGGTTTCTTTGTCATATTTTTTGTTCTTTTTTTTCCTTTGCACTATAATTTAGATTCCTGATTTAATTTTGCTTTTAAGTATACCGTTTAGGTAGCCTCTTCCACCTTTATTTCAAGGTTTTAATAGTCAACTAGGTATATGTCAATTAGTCAAAAAAAGTGCATGTTTTATCTACCCAACACGGTAATAGATCATGTGGAAGAAACTAAGAGGTCATAACTATGCATTTCTCATTTAACATGAAATAGTTGCCTTCTTCAATCAGAAGGAAAGCGTTCTTCCTACGAGTCATAAACACAGATTAATGGGAACTAGATCATGTGGAAACTACTGATACCAGATTACGATTTGATGGAGGTATATGCATCCTGGCTTATCATATGTTCCGTAGTAGTTCATATGCAAAAGCTAAAGCATACATCTATCTTACAGTTCTGATACCAATGATACCTAGGTAACCATACAACACAAGGAATGTTGTTACCGTCAAATTATTCCCATAACCTTTTTATGCATCTATTTTACGAGATCATGCCAACAAGTGAGTATGAGTATGCAAATTATTTAAAGCCTTGCAACAGCAGCATATGAAGATTGAGATGCATCAATCTATTCACAGGACTTCAACAGATCACATAAACGTCTACATGGATTGAAAATTCTTGCTCATCAATGTCTGTGTAAAAAAGGGGGATCATGAAAATAAACAAGCGCTTGAATGGCAGGGCTCAGGAAAATGGCAAGACCAATTAATAAATGTCAAGGATGTTGGCAAGATAACCAGAAGAATAAGATAGCATGGTTTTTCATAAATACAGATGAAAGGCCTAATTTGGTACCACTGAACTAAAACTTAACATACTGCAAGTTTCTTGTCATACCTGATTAGCATGCTTTAGTCAGATGATACCTGTACTTCGATGTGCTGTTGAATGGTTTAATGGGGTTCTCCAGCTTCAAACTCCACAATTTGTAGTTAATAAGACATCCATCACAAGGGCCATTATGGCACATCATATCAAATTCCATCCCTGGAGCTCCAAATGCCATCCCCATCAGGTCTTAATGATGTGAAGATGAAATTTCTCGCAGAAGTTTGGACACTAGACTCTCCATTGATGTATCATGACTTTGAAATCAGGAACCATGCTGGTAAACTTGTGCCTGAATCGAGCTTATAAAGTAATTGCACTGGTACTATGGATGGAGGAAAGATACTGCAAAGAGATTAATAGAATGAATTGCACATCATCTTGGTTCCTCTCGTTCTACATGAACCTGTCTTGATCTATGTGAAGCTGCAGCAAGTGAAGCTTTAGTAATCACTTTAACGCTCAGAAGCTTTAGGAATCAATTCAAATTCCACAAATAGAAATACGACAATCTTCTTTCTGGAGGAACCTTTGGTCTTGGCAAGCACTTCACCTTATGCAGAGATGGACACCAAGAAAATTATCACCAGATCAGCTATTCACATCCATCAAGTCATTTCAAAGGGAAATTCTGGGTTTCTAATGTACTTGCTTATCTGGCTGAAATATATATTCAAGATTGAGCTCAAAGTGTATGTCAGAAAATTATTCTCCAGAACCATCAAGTTTAAACAAGAAAAAGACAATTTCTATGAACAGAAAAATATCAAAGATAGATACAGTTTTGTTAGATGGATAATACAAATGCTTGCATAAGATCTTCTGTACATGATTATATTCACAACAAAGATCCTTCAGTGCATCATATCCAGTACATAAAGCAGAGCATACTAAAATCCATAAAAATGTTTGAATTGACAAGATCAACTGCAACCAATATATAACAATTACACAATTCTATTCAGCATGCATAGCAACTACTTATGCAACTCCCAATTAATGAATTGTGTGTAATCCTTCATTAAGTCATCAATCCTGCTTCGACAAATTATCAGTCAGAGGTGCATATGACACATACTATGGGTGTAACTATGACATGTAAAGTAATGAAGCCCTTGAAAGATGACTCATTTCTCTAGCTTCAGAAGCTGGCTTCCATTTGTCCAATTATTACCTGTAACTGGAAATGAAATAAATTTCACGTTCACATGAAAGCTAAAATAAAAATAAGAAACAAAAAGAGGAGTTATGCATATGATGCTTGCCTCTGCATTTTTATCTGATCAGGTCCCAATTCTCATATATAATATTACATTTGAGGCCGCCAAAACCATGATAGCAAATGGGAAACCTATCTTCTATATAAGTACTTCGACAGTGGAAAGTTTATACTCCTTGCCACCTAGAAGGCATTTGACAAAGATTTAGCACAAGAAACATATACCGGATGGAGTAATTATGCTCAAAATCTTTTGGAGAATTCCAATGCAGCATAGTGTAAGCTCACACTACCTTCAAGGCCATATCTTCGTCTATCATAGATCGATAACGTGTTGAACCTTCTAACTGGAAGTTGCCACTTTTACATATAAAATTGGCATTGCATAGAGTAGACAACTGCAATAGAGCATCAGACATTAGCCAGACATTTGAACCTTCTGTCAGCACTCCATCTTCGAACTGATCTTCCTCAACGGAACAATCCATCACTGATGTGATACACTGAAATATAGCCAACAACCTCTCTAAAGGAAAGGTTCCAGGTCCCTTCATGAGAACTTCTTCTGCCATATCCTCTTGTTGGTCCAAGGACGTATGTGTGCTCCTACAAATCAACAATTAAGAACATGAGAGACCTCAAGGAGATTTTGTAGAAAGATTCAGAGTGAAAAATTAACATCATCAAGTGCTGAAAATAATAACACATACTTCCTCTTTCGCTTACGATTATTGGAACCTCCAGTAGAGTCAAACAGTGCTGCATCAAGAGTAGCTGGGTTCCTCGAAGCAAGAAATGCAGAAATGAGGAGGTATTTCGTAGAGGTTGACATATGAATATCCAACTCACTGAAAACCTCCTTCCCACATAGTTTCCTTATATGTCCCCTCTTGGAAGTACGCTCCTTGGCAACTTCAACAAGTGACCAAGGAGTAACCGTGAATATCTCGTTCAGTGAAGCTGTCAAGTGTGGCTGCAGGTGATCAAATAACTTTCGCTTCATAGCCTCATCGGGAACCAGGCTCACATCAGTTAGTGGTTCACAATATTTCTTAAACAATGGGTCGAACGCAGTTGCTAGCTCATCAACACGTTTAGTAACTCTGGAAAATGGCTTCAAAACTATGCTGTTGTTCACAAAGCATTAACAGATGAATTGGGTAAATATCAAATGGGCAAAAGTTAAAACCAATAATCCATTCTACAAAATGAGATGATATGAATTACCTTAAGAAAGAAGAATATAACTTCTGATTGACTTGGTTTCTCATGAATATGGTATGGAGATCATCGACAGTGTAATCAGGGAAGTAAATGCTAATTGGCTCCACTGATCCAGTCATCGAGTAATAAGCATCAGGCATTGCCCTACTTATATAAATCAGACCGACTGCAGGAGTCTTCAACACATCGGCCATTCTGAACAGCAACGGGAGGATTTCAGATCCCTTGTCCCACGACCTGATAAGCTCCACATTGTCGAATACCAGATAAATCATCTCACCAATTCCATCGCCGTGACCCTCCTTGGAGCAAGATTTCTTCCTTTCATCTCTGGGAGCAGTTATCGCCCGAGTCAGAGCATCTCTGAGAAGATTCACGAAATCGGACGCCCTCTCGCAGCGTTTGGCACTGGAATACCCATTCTCCCGACTCCTCCTATGGCACAGCAACTGGTTCAACACGGTCTCGAACAAGATCCGAGGGCTGTAACAGGATCGGCAGCTGGCGTACGCAAAACGCCGGCGCAAAAGCCGGAACACGTGGAGAATCGTGATGGTCTTGCCAGTCGAAGGACCGCCGCACAGGAGGGCCGGGAACATCGCGGAGTTCGGGGGCCCGATCACGCGCAAGAACTCGAGGATTTGGGATTTTCGGCCCGGGAGAAGGGCCAATAGATCGTCCGTAGACATGGGCTCCGTACAGAGTGATTCCAGAGGAGGAGGATGCGTTGGCGGTGGTAGTAGATTCGGGGTGACGAGCGAGGGTTTTAAGGGTGTGGCGGAGGAGGATCTGGTGACTCGTCGAGCAGGGGTTTGTGGGGTTCCTTCGTCGCCCGCCATGGCTGGAATCGAATCGAATCGCTCCCTTCCTCGCCTCCTCTTCTCTCAGACGCTGCAGTCGCCGATTCCCGCTAAGAGAAACCCTAAAGCACGGGGATCTTTCGCTGGCGAGGGAGGGAAAGAAACGAATCCGTGGGTTTAAAACAAAATGCGTGAAATAACGGGCTTTGTGACGGTCATTATCACGGTTTCGGATTTATTAACGGGCTGAGAAGATAACGCTCGTTGCAATCCAAAATTTTCTGTTGTAGCGTCCGTTATTGCATATTTCATGATTTCAGTTCAACAATTTTAGGAAGGCGTCCCATTTTTCGATTTTTTCAGATGATCCTCTTATTTCTTGTGCGTCCATTGCTCACCGCTTTCATTGTCTATCATATTACCTTTGCATCGGTATCACAACAAAACTTAACATTAAGAGCATAGAGGTGTTTAAGGGGGGCTATCAAC